AAAAAAAGGTCCTCCAGGTCGAGAAAGGAGAGTGTTGACCTGCTATGGGGTTGTTAACATAAAACAACATGTGTACTGACTGTTTAATGAGAAACTATTTGTTCTGTAAACCTTCATCTAAAGTACAATAAAACAAAAAATTTTTAAAAAAAGAATATGCTCTGTTTGACCTCAGGAGTTAGGTGACCCCAAACTACATTCCCCCCCTCCTCCAAGGGATTGACCTGCTTGAAATTTAGTTCCAGGTTTGACTGAGGTAGGAATGCACAGTCTGTATGCTCTGGTGATATAACCTTACTGTATCTACCACTTTTCAAAAAATGTTCTTTAAATCCTAGTTAGGTTTACAGCCAGTTGGGCGGTTAGCTAGAAGGAAAGTATGTTAGGAGATGCAACATGCAGAAGAGAAAGTTTTTAAATCACTTCACACTAGTCCATCTCCACTCTTTCATCATAGGAAAGCATTAAGATGACAACTAAAAGATGGGTCTTCATGGCCCTAAAACACTTACTGTTCAAAGAACTGCTTTCCCTACTGCAGGAAGTCAGTTGTTTAAACAGGAATGTGCTGTACTTTGTATTGAAATTCCAAGTGGTATAAATGCCAAGTTGATTTTAGAGTGCTTATTGAGTTGAATATGACAAATCCACCCTAAGGAGTCTCTTTGTCCTGCTTTAGGTACCTGTTGCTTGCCAGCCACTGATGAGAACTCTCTCCAATGCTTCCTACAAAGCTTTCCTTATTCTTGCCTCTCTATGAGCCCAGGCCCCTATCTCCAAGGCCATCCTTCCCTGGCTCCTCATCCACCTCTTTCCCACAGAGAAGCAGGCCTCTGTTCCTCTCCTCTCCACACAGCAGGACTCTGGACAAGGCTGAGTTTTCTGGGTCCTAAATGTTTCCTAGTTGTAACTCAACTCACCTGTTTCCATGGTTTCATCTTTGGGTTGCACACAATATACCATTTTCCTTATCCATACCCCTCTAACTAATCCTTCTTTCGTCTAGTCTGTAAAGACATGTTGCCTGAAAGACTAGAGAGCTCTAAAAAAAAAGAATATAACGTTAGTTCTTTCAATAAGTAAAGGCTCAAATCTCACTGGCTTAAGTTTCCTTGTTTAATGAAGGTGCACGCCACCCTGCTCAGCTCCCCTACAGCAGTTTCTGCACTCTGGAGCCCTCTGGAGGAACACATCTGTATACAAAGTAAGTTGAACTCAGCAGGACTAGACTTCAAAAATATGTTGCGCAGTGCCTACCTACTGGGTTCTCACATTCAGACCTGCTAACAACCACAGAGAATAATTCTGGTGGCTCAGAGGTCCTCTGTTAGGGCAGTGGATCCTATTATGTCCTTCCACACTCAAAATAGACTGAAGTTCACATAACCATGGAAAATATGAAAGCCCTTGAGTAGGTAACGCAAGCTGAAATGGAAGAGTTATATTTTAAGGTGTTAATATTGTTGCAGTACAACCACTTCAATGGTTTTGAGGTAGCAGGTACAGAAATAAGTCATTCCACAACGTCAAGGTCCTCCATCTGATGCGGCACATCAAAATCACCAGGGAAGATTTAAAAGGGGAGGGGGGAAAGATTATGGATGGCCAGGCCCCATCCCAAACTTCCTGGAGTAGAACATATAGCAGGATCAGGACTTAGGTATGTTTAAAAAGTTCTCCAGGTGATTCTGATAATTACCCCTGATTAAGAACCTCCAAACTTCTCAGTAACAACAGCAGAAGTGCAATACTCAGTAAGCACTTGTTATTTGCCTGCATTTTTCTTTCAGGTTTAACTCCACTTATAAGCAGGTACAAACAACTTTGAAGAACAAGGCTCCTTCACCTAGGTTCACTGGAAGAGGAGAAATGGCAAGGAAGGTCCCAAACGGAGGCAAATATTTCCAGATTCATTAAAATCCTGAGTCAAGACCTGTCATACCCGTTGCCCACTGTTACTGAGTCAATTCCGACTCATAACGACCCTACAGGACACAGTAGAACTGCCCTACAAGGTTTCCAAGGCTGTAAATATTTACGGAAGCAGACTGCCACATGTTTTGGTTAGCAGACAGGCACTTAGCTACTGTGCCACCAGGGCTCCTTAGACCTGTCACAGCCACCTATTTATGTCATTCCTATCCAGGGAATCTCAAGTACATGTCAGTGTCTTACTGCTAAAGAAATTGGTGTGGAAGGGGAAAGAGCAAAGCATAACAGTGAGAACACTGGACGAGAGATCAAAGACCTGGGTTCCAGTTGCTGCTTCAAAAGTGAGGAGAAGCAGCCTTAAGCCAGACACACTCAGGAATCAGTAAAGCATGTCAGTTATGAGCATAAGCTTTCGAATGAGACACACCTGAATTTCAATCCCAGCTCTACCCAGTCATAGCTGTGAGAACTTCAACAAGTTTCCTAACCTCTCTGATCCTTAGTTTCCACACAGGTAAAACAAGGGCAATGCCTACTGCATAAGGCCGTTCTGAGGATTAAAAGAGACAACCCCTATAAAATGTTTAAGATGCTAAGTGTTAGGCACATATTGAGTGCTGAGTCAATGGTGCTATTGCTCTTGCTAGAGCTCTGCTGGGAGCTCAGCTGGCTTCCCAACTCAATCAAAAGGCAGCAGGAAGGAAAGGCTCCCATTCACCCACTCACCCATATTTAATTTTTTTCTTGAGATTTTCTGAGAGTTTTGGGAGTCACCGTGGTTCTGTGCTCTCTGCCACAATTACAGCTCAGTACTTCTAGTTATTAGTCACCACCCACTCACAAGAGAACTCAACCCGGGCACAGCACACCTGCTACTTCCATCAGCTTCCCACTCTACAGCTTTCTGTTTGCCCCTTTCATCACCTACCTCAGGTTTTAATAGTAAAGCTCCTTAAATCTACTTTCCTGATACAGTTCAATACCTTATCACAGTGAGCTTACTCTGGGTTACAAACTGGTAAATTCAGCACAAACACTCGGTCTAAAGCTGCTGATAGTACAAGTGCACCTTGAGGCGGCAGTGTGACACATCTTCCAAAAAACTAATCCACGTGCAGGCTGTGTTAACTGTACTACAGAATCCAAAACAAGAAGGGAAAGCTTTGCTGTGTTTTGCACCAATGAGAGTCCGTTTTATAGAAGCATTCACATCACAAGGCAATTCTGCTCTGAGAGAAAGTGGATTTGATAACTTCCAAGTCCATGATTCAAGAATAAGTCGGCAAACTTAGCCTTTATGTTTCCTATATATCGTCGTCTATTGTTAACAATACGGAAGTGGTGGTAGAGTGGTAGAATTCTTGCCTTCCATGTAGGAGACCCAGGTTCCACCCTGGGCCAATGCACCTCAGGCACAGCCACTACTCATCTGTCAGTGGAGGTTTGTGCGTTCCTGTGATGCTAAACAGGTTTCAGTAGTTTCCAGACTAAGATGGACTAGGGAAAAGGCCTGGTGATCTACTTACAAAAATCAACCAATGGAAACCCTATGGATCACA